TTTATAAACAATATTTCAGGTGGATATCAAACAAAAATATTCTTGTCTATTAGACAGGTCTTGGGAATAGTTAGTCGAATATAAAAAAAAAAAGTTACATAAAATGGGATGCCTGAGTATTGAAATATGTCCGAGTTATAAAAACAACAGAACTTATGCCGGCATTCTGAAATAGCGGATTAACGCTGTCTTTCAAAAGCATAAATACTAACGCTTGTCATATCGGGCACGTAGAAGAAAATGTCCGCGAAAGGAGCAGCAAGCAGAATAACTTATTCAAAATATTATAACCCGGCAATCTGGAATACGAAATTTGCACATTTAGTTTACTTGTAGATTTAACCCCATAGGTGCCAAATGTTTTTTTAAGTGACCTGAATATGCGATATTTTTACTGAGAATTTTTATCTCTCTATTATTAGTGGTAGACTCAAATGTTATTACACTAAAAGCAGTATACAGTCACTTTTCGTTATTCCAAAATCTATTTTTTTTAATTATCGCTTTTATCGAGTTCAGCGTGGTTTCGACCGAAATGCACGCATTTGTAACCAGATTATTCGAAGTGTATCGTCGGCCGACCACGCTTGTTACGAAGGCCGAGGTGCCGAAAGCGTGCAAGTATACACCAAGATGCACAAAGACCCTTGCGTTCCCTCGCCCTTCTCCACTGAGGCAAACGGCAAACTGGGAGAACCGAGTGAATGAGTGACGGAAGGCAGAGCAAGCAAAGTGCCGCTGCCGATGCCGATGCGCCGACGCGGGAGCGGGGGCAGAGAGCAGCGGGAGCAGCGTCAACGTCCGACGATACTCGCGGCGCCAAAATTCGACGCTGCCCGACGTCTGTCGGAATCGGTTCAAGGGAGCGATGGAGACCGGCGGAGACCATCCCCTCGGATAGGATAGGCAGAAGCCCATACGACAATAACTACAAATACCTTGGATATTGAACGCGGACCTTCTCGAGCGCCAGTTTATATCATTTGTCGAAATACAAATAATTGTTTATGTATCAATTCGTTCAGCCATATAGTGAACGTGACATTTTTTTTTTTACTTAAAATAATTTTTTTTTCACGAAGTTATTAAATTTACAATTTTGGTCCTCATCGTGTTTTTTAAAACTGAAAGTCTCTACTGGCAACAACGAAAAAGTGACGTCAGTGGAAGTGCATGGACTCACTCTTTGGACTCTAGAATTTGTTTCCAACTTATTCGAAGCAGTTTCATGGTGTCAAATGAATGCTTTGGAAGCTCGATCCAGGAGCCGCGCTCCAGCACGCAACAAATGATTGGCATATTCTATTTTCTAGACTGCTCGCTCGACTGGCAAGCCTGCCCGCCAGTGACGTCACGGCACTTAAAAGTGCGGGTATATTTGAATGTTTGCTTTTGCATCATTTTCATTTCCCGGTTTCGCAATAACTATTATTATAATAACAGTATGCTATAATTACTATTATAGCATACTGGAAAGAGTAAAGGCCGGGGAGTCAGAAAATATAGTTAGTTGAGGTATCTCAAAAAATCGCCGGAGTACCCCTTTAAAACTGCTTTAAACCAGATGAATTTTTTGATATCAATGCGATCCCATAGATGGGAGTAAAGACAAATAAACAATATGAAAAAAAAAAAGAAACGTATCAAGCTGGTTGTGGTTGCAGCCGAACGTTCAGCTGTACGTTTTAAACAATGTTTGGTCAACTGAGTGCAACGCCACACAAAATGCTTGGGGTTCAGTTGGCCTTGCCTCAAAAAAGATTAGCAAAACCATCCATTGCAGGGCTGGCGAAAGGGCGACATGTGGTGCTGCAGTCGTGCCACTACAGCTGGAAGATAATTGCTTGCGGGGAAGCGGTAGCTTTAAAAGCTTTATTTTACTTTATGTCAAAGTACAGCCGACGCTAAGGATTGATAAGGAAGAGCGAATGCTGCCAAAAGCTTGGGATCCCGGTGTTCGAAACCTTTTATTCCATATGCCATCAACGGAGATACTAATTAAGTGAAGTGCATGTGATATATGCCCTTATGCTTTTAGTATGTCTCATTGTATGTGTTCGAGCTCTAGAGTTTTTTTGTTCTATGACTTATCATAGAACGCAATATAGCAGGGGTAATGCAGGCAGACAGTAGCTGTTCCCAAAGCGAACTTTCGAAACGCCGTTCCTCTGCCTCAGATTTTCTCCGGCCATGCATGAGTGTGCAAAAGGGGTTTTCGTTTGCTCGCTTGATGAGAGAAGGAAGTGCGGACGGCGAGCAGCATAAGTGGCAGTGTCTGTCATGTACAAAAATTATTGCAAATAATAACTGTCTGCCGAAGCACACCGATATCAAAAACATGGAAACGACCGGACGGCACTCATTTTCAGAATGCGGCGACGGAGCGGCGCTTCCAGCAATTTCACCTTTCCGAGCTTCCATCTCTTGTACTCATCTATTTTAGTTTCAACCACACGACGCTAAGTTGACCATTATTTCTTTTGTTGTTTTATGATCTGACCCCAGACTTTAACTTGAAACACTTCCCCGCTAAGTTTCGCGGGGGAATGGAATGGTTTCATAATCGGTCAACAGTTTTACCCAAGTAGCACGAATGAGGTCCAAAAGGGCTACGAACGGGGGTCCCACGTGGGCAGCCTACGTGGGTCCTGGGCTAAGTCGGCCTGGCTTGGGCTGCCCACCGGACTTCCCTCGTGGGACCCAAAGTGGGCCTACTGGGGCAGCCCGCTTCGGGTTACCCTCGTGAAATCCACAGGGGGCCCCTTGGGGCAGCCCACATGTATTGCCTTAGTGGTACCCCCGAGGGGCCTACTTTGGGCAGACTACATGGTCTGCCCGCAGTGGACCGACAGCGGAACTTCTAAGGCATTCAACGGGAACCACCCCCCTCCCTCACTGGGGGTACACAGTGGGCCTACGAGATCAGCCCCCACGAAGGGTTACCCCGGGAACCTAATTTCGCTTGGGGTAATTTCATAATTCCGTTGCGGTGTGGAGTATTCCAATGTATACCAAATTGAGTATGCTTCACTTTCCCCGTGGGCTATACTGGAAATACTACCATTTTGATAAATATAAAAACGCCTTGTGCAGAGCCACAACAACATTGGGCATTTCAAGTGTACAAAATGGAACAAAAGAATAACTGCTCAAATTGTATATAAAATCATGTTGGATGGGTAATAGGAATACAGAGCCAGAGTGGGGCCGTCTGGAGATACCGAGTTTTAGAAGAGATACTACATTTTATCTAGTGTGTCTCGAATTCACAGCCTTCTCTACATACATGCTCAGCAGTATGTCAGTAATCAAAATTTGAAAGCCTACACTTTTTAATCGCGTTTAATGCTACCATTTTCGTAGATTTTGTAACACATTAAGCCAATCCCTGAAGTTGAATTTCCAGGACGTGCAGTAAATATCCTCAAAACTTAAAGAAAGCACAGTTTTCGGAGTCGCACAGGTCGTCAAAGTTGGGCGTGCCAGCGCTTTGCAAACTTGGAGTTTGGACCGTTGCTAACTTGTACCCGGATAACCGAAGTGGGACCCACGGGATTTTTGCATGGGCAGCCCAAGTTTGGCTTCCCTACGTAGTGCACAAATCCAGTGATTGGACACGCTTCAGTATTCCGTACCAATTAAAAAATTCTTCAGCACTCAAAATCTAAGTCATAAACCACGCGCGCTGGTGTTGTATTCGCGCCAGTAAGAGGTCCTGTTTGCTAATTTGCGGCATAGGGAACACACTCCTACTCCTCAAATCGCGGGTAGAAATGAGGGAAGGAAGACACGAGAGCACCTGGAAGGGCAGAACGCCAAGCTCTAGCTCGAATGCATTCAAACCAAAGTTGCGCGCTCTTGCGTTGCCGCGCTTTCTGGTGTCCCCCTCTTCCCTAGCTTGTACCCGCACAGAAGTCATATACAGTGCTTTATGTGCTTTAGGCATACGCAACACAATGAAACGTTACTGAATATAAGTAAAATGTGTGAAACAAGGATGATTAATCCATAATAGCAATTCAACTAGAGCAAACAACATGAAGGCGACAGCTTTGCGCGCAGCCACATCGGAGCTGTAATATTAACATAACCCGCGATTTATGTTAAAAATTAAGTTCTTTGTGACTTTTACGCAAAAGAAACGGATCAATTTCAATACTACATAAGGTGAAGGTCAATTTCTCTAATAAATGAAGCTCGAGCAAAAAATATATATCTGTAGAAATACGAACACAGAATTCACTATTCCCCATTACCGTTTAACCATTTTTCACATTAGAAATTAAACGTGCCTCGGGGTGGTTGTACTAAAAGAGGAAAAAAAGCACCTAATCATGGTCTGGAACTGCTCCGCAAACCAGTTGGAAGGCCTCAGTCGTGATGTAATATTTTTATCCTATTTAAACCGCAGACGAATGAAGGCTGCGTTCGTGACAAGAATTTACGGGTGCATTTGGGTGACTCCACGTTCTTTCATACGGAGAAAGAAACCGTTGTATCACATTCCTTCAAGGGACGCAACTCTATTAGGTATCAACTTCGATTCCGTTTCCCTCTCCATTTCACGTTCCTTGGGAGTACTACGAACGACTCTTCCTCACGGCTTGAGTATAAATAACAGCGAGCGGAGACACGATACCACAGTTGCAGCTTCTTCGGCACAACCGACACCTTCAATCATGGTACGTTTAAGCTATCCGTCTTTCCTGTAAATTATGAAAGAATGTTTTTCTAGAGCTCGGTTTGAGCTAAAGCTAATTTGGATACAAATAAAAGTGAAGAAACTTTAGCTGCAAATTTGTAGTTAATAAGAAAAAAAGAAACTATTACAAAGTAATGATTTCTACTTAATCACATAGATATATTCTTCCTAATTAGTAAAAAGCTGATGGAACGAAACAGTAACCCAGAAAAACGAAGTGAAGCAAATATATTCTCTCTATAATGTTCATACGCATTCATTTGTTCTACTAACCATTAACGCTTCCCCCATTTTTCATATGGCACAGATTCGTGCTTGCCTTGTTTTGGCTCTGGCCACCAGCGCCTTCGCTGGATTTGTCAACGGGGGATACGGTCTTGGTTACGGCTATGGCCTCGGATACGGTCACGGCCTCGGCTACGGTCACGGCCTCGCCTACGGTCACGGTCTCGGCTTCGCTGGTCTCGCTGGATACGGCTACGCTCCCGCTAGCTATGCTGTCGCTGCTCCAGCTGTCGCTCGCACTGTCTCCTACGCTGCTCCAGCCGTCACCAAGGTTGCCGCCTTCCACGCTGCTCCAGCCGTCGCCACTTACGCCGCTGCCCCGGCTGTGACCAGGGTTGCCACCTACGCTGCCGCCCCAGTCGCCACGGTTGCTCGCACCGTCGCCACCTATGCCGCTCCAGCCGTAACCAAGGTTGCCACCGTTCACGCTGCTCCAGCTGTCGCCACCTACGCCGCTGCCCCAGTCGCCACCTATGCTGCTGCTCCAGTTGCCACCTATGCCGCTGCTCCAGCCGTCACCCGCACTTTCGCCACTTACGCCGCTGCTCCAGCCGTGACCAGGGTCGCCTCCTACGCCGCTGCCCCCGTCGCCACCTATGCTGCCGCTCCAGTCGCCACCGTTGCCGCCGCTCCAGTCGTCACCGTTGCCGCCGCTCCAGTCGTCACCCGCACTGTGGCCACCTCCCACGTCGCCGCTCCAGTTGTCTCCGCCTACCACGCTGCCCCAGCTGTGACGACCGTTGCTCACGCTCCAGCTGTTGCCACCGTTGCTCACGCCCCAGCTCTCGGCTACGGCTACGGAGTTGGACACCTTGGCTACGGTCTTGGCCACTATGGCTATGGACACGGTCTTGCCAGCTACGGCCTCAACTACGGTTATGGCCTTGGCTCCTTCGGCGACTACACCACCCTTCTCCGCAAGAAGAAGTGTAAGTATAGGTTTTATTTGAATCTAAAATGAAGTCTGAGGCTGCTTTTGCCCAGCTATATAAACTAGTTATGAAAGTATACAACACACACATTGCTATGTCACTCAACACATTTACTTAATTTGTGACCTCTTGTTTTATATACATTTGCTTATGCCTTTACAGAAATTGCAACAACGACAGCACCTCCAAGTCGTCTAGGAGCCTGACGGGCAGGGTCCCATGGCTATGTTGTTTTAATAAAATTAATTTATGTTACATTATTTGTTTCTTTTATTTTGCGCAGTGAAATAGTTTCAAGTCAGTTGTCTTTTAACAAAGGGCTCGTCGGCGCGCCTTCATGGCGACTATACGCTGTGAGAAATGTTGTTAAACTGTATTTCCCTGGTGAAGATGACGATCGCTATTATATATGAATTCTTTTAGTATTAGGTGATCTTGTGTTGTAATTAAATATGTATTGCCTACAACGAAACATAAGTGTCGATTCTAATAAATAGTAATCTTCATTAAGCTGTAAAACACTTTACAGAAGCTGTTCGACACTACACTCTAAGAAATGCCTGGGCGTGTACCTTCCCGCAAAACGCTCATAAAAATCCAGTCATCAAGATCAGGGTAGTCCGCTCAGCGGATGATGAGGAGGAACATCTGTTTATACCTTTAAATTAAGTGTGCGCTGTGGCATTGTGCAATGCGAAAATGAGGCTTTGCATTGTGTAATGCCACAGCGCAGACTTCATTTATAGGTCTAAATGGATGTTCCGCCTCATCATTCGCTAAGCTTATTTCCTTGATCACAATGATTGGCTCTTTGAGCTTTGCAGTTAAGTAGATGCGCAGGTCTTTTGCCTATTGCAGCACGAATTTGTCAACTCTAATATACAGAAGCGGCTCTCTCGGCATCTTCTATTTTTCATATGAACAAAAATAGCCTCTTGACGGTCAAGTCATTTTAGTATGCAGTTTATAATACCATCCGACGCTGAACGGATGTCCGAACGTGGCAACCAATCGCTAGTGCATTTCATAATATTTTCAGTTTTAGTTGGAGGCAAGTTCGCGTCTTTCATCGGAGATTTGTTCATATTGTAAATTTGGTGAAATAATAGCTAGCCGTGCAAATATAAAAAAAAAACAAAAACGACATGGCTGCTGAGCGGCAATATGACCAGTGCAGTAACACAACCTGCGTTTTTGATGTCCATTACGCTTAGTCATAACAAAGTACAACGCAGTAACGATAACTATTCAGTGACAAACTACGATATAAATTATACACAAATTTTGTTTAAGAAGTTTCCGCTCGTGCGGGAACCATTTATACTATCTCTATTTTTCTTTCTGTATATGTTGCTCAACACAACTAAGTGTGTTGCACGCTTTAAATTTGGCTATGTAGGTTACTCTCAGTGAGGGTAAAATAAAATACGTTATTGGAACTCTAACCGTCTAATGCTAGTGCCTATATCCTCTTTGGCGTAACTTCATTGGAGCATAAGCTATCGTTCGAGGTTGTGCGTATTTTTTTTTATTGTTTTTAGTGCATTGTTCGGACTTTGAATTCGTGCATTATGTGGCCAGGCGCTTCAAGTAGTCACTTTGATATCAGCACATCTGCGTTTAAAAAAAAAAAAGGGAATTGCTCTATTACGGTATTCATTTATCTCAGAAATACCTTACATCATGACGTTATGTGACCTAGCCCTAATGTATAAATATATTGTAAGCTATATTTTTAATTGTCACATATTTTGTTTGGTACTCTTTTTGTCCCCGTATTCATACCATCTTTCTTAATTGCTCTACGCTTCCTTGGTTTGAAAACTACGGCATTTGTGTTGCTCGAAGATAAATACATATACACAATTACGGATGCCCCTTATGCAATAACATTTCTAGTCAACATTAATGATACTTGAAAGCATTGTGATAACGTTGTGATGATAGAAGGTGATAACACTGTCATATAGGACGACTCCACACACTGCCAATTCTTCTGACAGAGGTGGTAGTAATATTAATCTTAATTAGAATAACAAGAATGTAATAATAATAATAATAATAATAATAATGTTTATTTACGCCTGTAGTTCACTTCATAGCGAGGCGGGCCTGTCAAAACCAGACAAAAGGCTTGTTGGACAAGACCCTATAGTTTGTGATAAAAAAGCTTTCCCCACACACGTAAGCTTCCAAGCTCAACAACATCACAATATAAATGATGATGGTCACACGCAAGCGTGCACATACACAGCACAGCTAAAAACTTGCACTTTTAGATCGGAGCATTCGTTTCAGTTTGTTTGGTGAGTCCACAGTGTAAACATCGTCCGGTAGGATATTAGATATATAGGGAACATAAAAATTCCGAATTCTTTTTCCGTATTTTGTCACAACAAAAGGCATTTCATAGCACTCGGTTTGTCGAAGCGATCTAAATACGACATGGAGGTACTCTGAAATTATCACGCCAAAAGTTTTTCAACACAACGGTCTGAACCAATAAGGAGTGGAACAATGGCAAGCACAAGACTGCTAGGATCTCTTTTTCAGTTTGCGATATGGAACCATAAACAATGCTTTTAAATATTCCTTTTAAGACTGAGTCTATTTTTTTACCTCATCGTCCTGGGCTGTGACCAAAAATAGTTATTCCGTAACGCAAAACACTGTATGCCAAAGCGTGAGCTATTGTCTTTTTCGTTGAATAAGGTATTGAAGATCTGGTATTGTACAGTAAACAAGATATATTTCTCAGTCGTCTACAAAGTTTTGACAGATGAGAATTCCACGACAAATCACTTTCGAATTGAATTCCTAAATATTTAACTTGATCTACATAAGATATGGGACAACAGTTACAAGATGTACGAAGAGAGGTATGCATATATATAGGATGATTGGGCGTTAACATCTTAAGAGGATTACGAAAGCCGACAAGCTGAGTTTTAGATGCATTTATCGTAAGACGATTTGCCTTAAACCAGTCATTAAGTTGACAAGTGTCATCTTGGAGTAATGCCATTGCTACAGGATAATCAAGATGTTTTGAAAGCAACACTGTGTCATCCGCATATTGGAACAATTTACATGTTGAAACTGAGTTAGACATAACGTTTACAAAAATGTTAAAAAGAAGAGGTGACAAAACAGAACCTTGGGGAACCCCAGCCTTTAAGGTAATTCGGGAGCTTCGACTATTACCTATAGAAACTAGCTGTGTCCTCTCAGTTAAAAAGTTCCGGAGAAGAGAAAGGAATGGGCCGCGGAATCCAGTGTTTTGCAATTTTGTTAGTAAAATATTGTGACTCACTGAATCGAACGCCTTTGCTATATCAATAAAAAGTGCGCAATCAATCTGATGCCTCTCGAAGGCTAGATGTAATTCATCTGCAAAATCTTCCAAAAGTGGCTGTGTCCCACGTCCGTTGACAAACCCATATTGACTGGGCGACAGAATATTCAACTGATCAAGAAAGGCCGTCATAGTTTGAAAAATATGTTTTTCTAAGATTTGGACAATACCGGGCAAAATGGTAATTGGTCTATAATTGTCAAGTTTTTTATGCTCTCCCCCCTGAAATACGAGCTTCACTAGCGCACTTTTCAAATCAACCGGGATCATCCCGGAGTAAATGAAACCATTTAACACATGAAGGAGCACAAGTTTTATAGAATCATAATTTCGGCGCAGATCATTTGCACTGATGCCATCGATACCGGGCGCCTTGTTAGTTTGAAACTAAAAAGCAAAGTGCGTAGATCAAGTTCAGACATTTCGGGAAGGAATGCCGAGGAAACATTTGAATCAAGAAAATCTGCTGTGAACATAGTATCATCCCGAGCTACTCCAGAAAATATAGCGAAGAACTTATTGAAATCCTCTACTAGTTTTGTCGTATTGTTACCAAACAATTTCTCTAGGGAGGCATCAATCGATCTCTTTACACCCGTGCCCCGTAATTGATTTATCAAACTCCAAGTCATTGAAATATTTGACCTTGCTTTAAAAAAATTATCTCGAAATTATGTTCCTTTTGCTGATCGAATAAGCGCGGTTACAGTTTCGCATACTACGGAATTCTTTTTTAAAGTTTGTATTGGTTGTAGATCGCCGACATCTAGCCCAAAGAACATCTTTACAGCGGGTAGCTGACAAAATGTCACTCGTTAACCATTCTTGTTCGCTACGACGCCGCCTCAGAGTGATTACCTTTTCAGATTTGTCCTTGAAATAGTCAAATATATTTCTAAACCTACAGTACACTTCATCAAAGTCTTGAATAGAGAGTAAACTATTCCAATCATAGGTTTTAACCAAATTATCAAATCTAATTTTATCAGTTATTTCCATTGTTTTTGTTATCGCTATTGTTGATTTCATCGTGAGTTGGGATGCAAGCTGACACGCCACAAAGTAGTGGTCGGCTAATTTTTGCTCTATTACGGCCGATTTTGCAACAACATTCGGAGCGCGTATGCTTATATGGTCCAGACGCGAGGCCACAAGGTGATTATCCAAGAGTTCTCGAGTTGGAGCTAAAATCAGTTCCTCCAGACCAAAATGCGCTAAAAGATTCACATAGTCACATACAATAGGCTTGGCGGGTTGAAGCGTATCAATGTTGAAATCACCTACTAAACAGATGTCGACAGACTGAAAATTTCCTAGTGTATTTTTTAGTTCTTCTAAAAATCTTAAAGGATTAACTGAAGGAGGTCTGTAAAAAGCTAATAAAATCAAGGACCACTTATCATTCCATAGCCTCATAGACAAAGACTCGCAATGGCAAAACTATACATCAAATGTTTCAGTACACCACAAGTCCGTAACAAATATCGCAATTCCTCCCCCTCGTCCAATCGGCCGTGTAAGAAAGAATGATTTATATCCCGGTATCCGGAACTCACCACAGAAATCGTCTTTAACATTGATCTCTTTTAGCACAAAAACATCAAACAGTGGTGACATATTGTTTACAGTTATAACAAACTGGTCCCAATATTTACGAATACTTCGAATATTTACATGTAAGAACCCAAGAGTACTATCACACGCTGGTTCCGAGAAACGTTAAAATGAGGAAAAATCTGAATATTGACGAAGCTGTACTTCCATTATTTGACGCGGTTGTTATCCACTAGTATTTTTAAGCCGTTTAGCAACAAAAAGAGTTACACAATCAATTCCAGGTCGGCCAACCGGTGGATGCAAACCAGTGACGAGGTTCCTGACTTTCTTGCAAATAGCTTCCCATTTTTCACCCAAGTGAATTGGTACTGCTTATTAATAATAATAATAATAATAATAAAAATAATAATAATAATAATCTTATTTCTAGAAGACTTGGAGGCGGCGACCAAGGGTAAAAGCTGAATACAGGGCTTGACGTGCTGTTGACCGCCTACAGTGCACAGCGACGGGACAAAGCCAGAATAAAAAGTGAAAGAGAACTATATATAAAATACGAAGACAGAGGTGGTAGCTGACATCTGATCATTGTATATGCAACGATCAGATGTCAGTAATCAAGATTAGAAAGCCTACAATTCCTTGCTCGCTATTAATATTACAATTCTCGGAGATTTGGTATATATTCAAGCCGATCTCTCAAGTTGAATTTCCAGAAAGTGCAGTAAATATTCTCAAAATCAGCGGAAAGTGCCGTTTTGTGAGTTGCACAGGTAGTCCAAATTGGGCGTGCAGGCGTCTTGCTGCCTTGGAGTCCAGACCGTTCTTAACTAGGCCCCTGCGGAGCCAAAGTGGCACCCATGGGGGTTTTACATGGGCAGCCCAAGTTGGGCATGCCCGCGCATTGCCACTAAGGAGCCCACACTATTTCTAACTTGGCCCACGCAGAGCCGAGGTGGGACCCAAGGGTGTTTTACGTGGGTAGCCGAACTCGGGCACACACACGCTTCGCCGCCGTTGAGCCCTCATATCGCCTTTGGCCCCAGTAGAGATGAGGTGGGTACCACGAGGGTTGTACATAGGCTGCCCGAGTCGGGCTTGCCCAGGCTTCACAGCCTTTGAGCCCACATCTTCGCAACTTGGCCCCGTGCGGCTGAAGTGGGACCCACGGCGGTGTTACATGGGAAGCTCATGTTTTCTGATTTTCGGCATTGGCAACACACTCCTTCACACCACAATGCAGGTAGAAATGAAGAAAGAAAGAGACGAGAGCGCCTGCAGAGGCCAGAACGCTAAGCTCTCGCGGGAATGCGTTCCAACCTGAGCTCGGCATTCTTCTGCCGCCGCGAGTTGTCGCGTCCTCCTCTCCCTGAGCTTCTATCCGCACGGAAGTCGCATACAATACTCTATGCGATTTAGTTATACGCAACACAATGAAAAATTACTGAATATAACTGAATTGTATGAAACAGGGATGATTCACGCATAATAGCAGTTCAACTAGTGGAAACAACATGAAGGTGGCAGGTTTGCGTCCAGCACATCGCAGCTGTATTATTAACATAGCCAGAAATCTAAGTCAATAATTGCGTTGTTAGTAACACTTACGCAAAAGGAAATGACCAATTTATATACTACATAAGGTGAAGGTCAAAGTCTCTAACAAATAAAACTCGCGCAAAAAAAAAGGTTAAATATACTAAAACATCATTCACTATTCCACATTACCGTTTAACCATTTTTTCACATTGCAATTTGAAGATGCCTCGAGGTGATTGTAATAAAAGAGGAAAATAGCACCTCATCATGGTTCTGCTCCGCTAAACAATTTGAAAGCCTCAGTAATGCTGTAAAAGAGTATAGCTTTAATTTCTATTTCATTTGGACCGCAGTGGAATGAAGGCTGCGCTTGTGACAAGAATATACCGGTGCATTTGGGTGACTTCACGTTTCTTCACACGGAGAAAGAAAATGGGCGTAGCACATTCCTAAAAGGGTCGCAACTCTATTAGACATCCCCTTCAATTCCGTTTCCCTCTCCATTTTACATTCCTTGCGAGTACTACAAATGACTTTTCCTCGCGGTTTGGGTATAAATAACAGCGAGCGGAGACACGATACCGCATTTGCAGCTTCTTCGGCACAACCGACACATTCATCATGGTACGTGTCAGCTATCCGTCTTTCCTGTAAATTATGATAGAGTGTTCTTTCGACAACTCGGTTTAAGATAACGCTAGTTTGAATACCAATAAAAGTGGGGCAACTTTAGCTGTAAATTCTCAAGTTAATTAGAAAACAAAGAAACTATTATAAATTAATGATTTCTGCTTTATTACAGACGTTCATTTGTCCCAAGTTAGCAAAAAGCTCATACAAAAAACAGTCACCCTAAAAAAGGAAGTGAAGCAAATATTGGCTGTTATAATGTTCATAGATATCGATTTGTTCGACTAATATTTAATGCTTCTCCCATTTTTTTATATTGCGCAGATCCGTGCTTGCCTTGTTTTGGCTCTGGCCACCAGCGCCTTCGCTGGATTCGTCAACGGGGGATACGGTCTTGGTTACGGCTATGGCCTCGGATACGGGCATGGCCTCGGCTACGGCCATGGCCTCACCTACGGTCATGGTCTCGGTTACGCTGGTCTCGCTGGCTACGGCTACGCTCCCGCTAGCTATGCTGTCGCTGCTCCAGCTGTCGCTCGCACTGTCTCCTACGCTGCTCCAGCCGTCACTAAGGTTGCCGCCTTCCACGCTGCTCCAGCCGTCGCCGCTTACGCCGGTGCCCCAGCTGTGACCAGGGTTGCCACCTACGCTGCCGCCCCAGTCGCCACGGTTGCTCGCACCGTCGCCACCTATGCCGCTCCAGCCGTCACCAAGGTTGCCACCGTTCACGCTGCTCCAGCCGTCGCCACCTACGCCGCTGCTCCAGCCGTCACCCGCACTTTCGCCACTTACGCCGCTGCTCCAGCCGTGACCAGGGTCGCCTCCTACGCCGCTGCCCCCGTCGCCACCTATTCTGCCGCTCCAGTCGTCACCCGCACTGTGGCAACCTCTCACGTCGCTGCTCCAGTTGTCGCCGCCTACCACGCTGCCCCAGCTGTGACGACCGTTGCTCACGCTCCAGCTGTTGCCACCGTTGCTCACGCCCCAGCTCTCGGCTACGGCTACGGAGTTGGACACCTCGGCTACGGTCTTGGCCACTACGGCTATGGACACGGTCTCGCCAGCTACGGCCTCAACTACGGTTATGGCCTTGGCACCTTCGGCGACTACACCACCCTTCTCCGCAAGAAGAAGTGTAAGTATAAGGTTTATTTTAAACTAAAATGAAGTCTGAGGCTGATTTTGGCCAGCTATATAAGACAGGTATGAAAGTATAGAACACGATCATCACTATGTCAAACAACACATTTACCTAATTTGTGACCTCTTGTTTTATATACATTCGCTTATGACTTTACAGAAACTGCAAGAACGACAGCACCTCCAAATCGTCTAGGAGCCTGACGGGCAGGGTCCCATGGCTATTATGTTTTAATAAAATTAATTTAAGTTACATTTATGTTCCTTTATTTTGTCCAATGAAACAGTTTCCAGCCAGTTGTCTTTTAACAAAGGGCTTGTCGGTGCACCTTCATACCGACCAGGGATGGGCAAAATACATGCAAATATGTATCGAAATACAAATACAAAATACTTCGTAAAAAATGTATTTAATTACAAATGTAATTACATTTCCAAAAAAGCATTTAAGTACAAGATACAAATACAAGCAAATGTATTTGGTCTTCTCCAAATACCTTTCCAAATACATTCCTCAAAATATGCGTCAGCGACTTCAGGGCACCTGCAACGGGTTCCTGGGTATCTCATTTTAATTTTCCATCGCATATACGGGAGTTAAGTGTACGAGGCTCTAGTAATGTAATACAAATATAATCACAAAAAAAATTTAATCAGCTTGGACATAATAGGTGAAAAAAGTACAGAGCTTCAAGCAGCTTTTTTTGTCGTTTACATTTTGGTATGGACCAACAAAGAACCAAGACGATCAAGACGCGCAGCACTAGCTCGAGAATTTTTTATTGTTGCAACTCGCACCACTTACGAAAATCTGGACGACCCGCGCATTTAGAATGTTCCAGGCAAAAACATGGATGGAAATCAGGTTGGAAAGCATCGCAAGTTGTCACAGGCACTTATTTAACCAGTCTGCCTGTGAACGTCGATTTCGTGACTATTCTTGCCCTGGACTAGCGCAGTAATCACAATCACTAAACGCTTGTGCTTGATTGAGAGACACTGCATTCGGTGCAGAATGTAGTTTTCTTCCTGCTCTGGACACGTCTTAGGATGAGCAAAATGAGTCGTGACACTTAATTTGAGGAATGTATTTTCGCCCACAAAATTGTTTTTAATTACAATTGTATTTGAAATACCCACGTTTTAGTATTTAAATACACACGTCAAATACATTACTCAATTTATAATTAAATACAACTGCAAAATACACAAAGTATTTGAAATACTTATTTCAAATACTTGTATTTGAAATACTGCCAATCCCCCATAGCGACTATACGTTGTGAGAATTATTGTTAAACTGTATTTCCTGGGTGAAGAGTAGGATGGCAATTACGTTTGAAATCTTTTAGTTTTGGGTGATTCTGTGATGTAATTAAATATCTATGGCCTATAGCGAAACATAAATTGCTCTTCTGAGAAATATTCATCTGCATTAAACAGTAGCACACTTTAGAAAAGTTGTTTGAGACTACACTGTAAGAAACACCTAAGCGTGTACTTTCCCGCAAAACACACAAAAAAGCTAATCATTGAGATCTAGGAAACCAGCTCAGCGGATGATGAGGCGAAACATCAGTTTAGACCTTAAAATTAAGTGTGTGCTGTGGCTTTATGGAATGCAAACTTGAGGCTTTGCATTGCGTTATGCCACAGCGCACACTTCATATATAGGTCTAAATGGATGTTCCTCATCATTCGCGAAGCTTGTTTCCTAGATTGCAATGATTGGCTCTTTGAGAGTTTTGCGGGTAAGTAGATGTGCGGGCGTTTTGCCTTTTCCAACACGAATTTGTCAACTCTAATATACAGAACCGGTTCTCTCGGAGGCGTTTATTGTTCAAATGAATAAAAATATCCTCCTTGACGCTCAGGTCATTCTAATATGTACTTTACAATACGACCCTACACTAAACGAATGTCCAAACGTGGCAACCAACAGCCAGTGTATTTCATAAGGTTTTAAATTTTAGTCTGAGGCAAGTTTGCGTCTTTGATCGGAGATATGCTAATATTGTTAATTTGTTAAAATAATATCTAGTGGTGCAAATAGAAAAACCGACTTGGCTGCTGAGGGACAATTCGACCAGTGAAGAACCACAAACTGCGCCTTTGATGCCCATTACGCTTACTCATAACAAAGTGGTACGCAGTTACAAGAACAATTCAGTGACATACTACGACATAAATGATACACAAGATTTCTTTAAGAAGTTTCTTCTCGTGCAGCCACCATATTTGCTCTTTCTATTTTTCTTTCTGTATATGTTGCTCAACGCATCTAACTGTGTTACACCCTTTAAAGGCGGCTTTGTAGGTTACTCGCACTGAGGGTCAAATGAAATACGCTATTGCAACTCTAAACCTAGTGCCTACATCCTCTTTGACGTCGTTTCATTGAAGCATAAGCTATCTTTCAAGGTTGTGCCTAGTTTTTTATTGTTTTTAGCGCATTGGTTGGCGGCTTTGAATTTGTATATTATGTGACATGACGCCTTAAGTAGTGACTTTGAAATCAGTGCATTTGCATTTTTTTAAATGTGAATTACTCTTTCTCTGACGGTAGTTATTTATCTCAGAAATACCTTAAAACATCACGTTATGTGACCTAGCCAGAATCTGTAAATATGTTGTAAGCTATTTTTTAGTTGTCACACATGTGATCTGGTGCCCTTTCCATACCTGTGTTCATACAATCGTTTTTAATTGCTTACGTTTTCTTGGTTTGAAAAGTACAGAATTGTTATTCCTCGAAGAAAAATACATATACACAAATACGAAGGGCGCTTATGCAAAAGCATGCCTATTCAACATTAATGAGATTTGACGGTACAAAGCCGGAATGAAAAGAGAAAGAAAGAGAGAACAAAACAATTAACAGAAACAAAATAGAATACGCAACACACAAAGTTCACCATAGCAGATAAAGCAGTATGTTCAAATACGAGGACAGTGGTGGTACCTACTAGTTATCATAATCACTCATACAATGTAATGGTCGAATTTGTCCTATTGACATTTCATTCCAGTTTAAGTTTTTTATTCGTAAATATCTACTAAATAAGGAATAGCGCCTCAGCATTTGAGCGCAATAATTTGTACTTAACCTAACGCCCCCCTCCCCCCCCCCCCACCCCCGCATTCGGCGCCACGAGTAGGATACACATTTTTATTTTTTTGAGAGGCGACCAAGGGTTCCTAGAAAGTTTGTGTTCCTAATTAGCTCTATCTTAAGGCTAGTACTGAGTCTGTAAAGATATCAAGTTGAACATTGATATTGAGGAACTAGCTTAATAGGTCGGATGTGTGGGACGGAGATGGGACGTGGACTATGACCTTTACAGCTTTTTCGTATCAAATGTACCTTCTCAAGATTCGATTAAATCGTGGTACGCCAAACTAAGCAACAATAATTTAAGTCTAAGTAGGACAAGGAATTATGAAATAGTAACTTGACATTTTCTGTAAATTATAATGATGGGAGTTTAACATGCCAACAATTCGAAGCACCGTTGTAATAAAGTAGTTAACATGCTCATCCCACGATAGATTAGCCGAAAAAGAAAATAACGCCTAGAATCTTGAAGGAATTTACAATCTCAATCTTGGTCGAGTCTATGCTGAGGTATTTTGTATTGTTGACTACTCTATTTTTAGGGCGAAAGAGGAAGGTTTTTATTTCTATATGTTTACTTCAAGTGATTTATATCTACTTCACAATATCGGCCCTAAAAGCATTAGATTCGTCTTATCAAGTAATAAATAGGCCTCTTCTTATTTCAAGTAATAAATAGGCCTGCTCCTGAATTAACATTTATTATGTCATTGACATATCCGTAATAGAGGAGCCCAATAAACTACATTGCAGTACACCAAAGGAAGTAGGTCTATTAACGCAGAAGTTTCCATTTGAGGGGACGTATTGAAATCGATGTTACAGATACGACTTTATTAGCTGCAAGTCATGCCCTCAGAAAGCGTAAGTGTCCAATTTTGTTAGAAGCGGTTTATGATTGAGGCAATCAAGCGCCTTTGAGTGGTCAACAAAGATGGATGAAGAGTTGGCATTGTTTTGTACAATATTAAGAGCGTTTGTCAATTTTACGCGTATCCTTTTCATCACCTGTGGAGCATGATCAAGGCTTTCGAAAAGTTACATATCTTGTGACAGTGCAATAAATGAGTCGAATCTTATAAAGCAGGGCCGCCTTTCAGAGAAAAAAAACATTGGTGTAAAGTTTCACGTAGTTTAAACACATAAATATTTAAATCGTTTAAAGTTAACACTTTATTTTAATAAGACTAAATCCGACGAACTTATAGAAGTTGAAGAGAAAGATTAGTTTCGTAGTTCGGTTTAGGATCATGACACGCTTTTCGCTTACTATGTTGATAAACTTAATAAACCGATTAACCTCCGAAGTGTGTACGTAAAATGTAATTAATATTAAAATAAATATGACTGTTTACAATTGCTCGTGAAATATATGAAAGTTTAAACAAAATAATCCGAACACGGTAAAATTGATATTACGGGAAGGAAATTGTAAGTAAGCCTAGGAAAAATGTGAGCGGGGATGACTGTATATTCGCGAGAACTCAACTGGTATATATAAGGCTTATTTTAATTATAGCACACTAAATTGCCAAAATGCTCTTAAAGTTTCAAACATACATTATTGAAAATGTATGTCAAACAAAAATATTCTTGTATATGAAGCAGGCTCGTACAAGTTTAGTCAAATATAAACCTTTATTAAAATGGGTTGCCTTATTATAGAGATATTCCCCAGTAATTATAACAAGGAGAACTCCTGCCGCAACTCTGAAATAGTGGATTAACGTTTTCTTTTAAAAAAGAATGAAAGCCGTTTACAATTCCCTGTAACGCCGGTTAGAGCGCAGCTCTTGAGGAGGAAGGTGGAAGCGTACAGAGGGATAGGTGACTCCTTGAGGTCACGTGACCTCAAGGGGGTCACGTGACCTCAGGGGCTCACGTGACTTGAAGGGGTCACATGACCTTAAGGGGTCACGTGACCTCGGGGGTCACGTGACCTAGGGGCGTCACGTGACCTGAGTGGGTCACGTGACCTGGGTGGGTCACGTGACCTCGCGGTTACGCCGACGCCGACGCCGCTCAAGCTGGAAACGGACCCCTAAGAGCTACGCTCTAAAACATTTAACGCTTGTACAATCTATAACGAGCAACAAGCATAAATTATTACAAAATATTGTCACCTGGCAATATAGAAGAC